TAATTTATTTTGTTACTATTAAAAAATTATTACTAATAAAAATATGAGCAAGGCCTCACCTTAAAACCAAAAAAAAACATTTAAATAAAAAAAATCTGAGTTTATTGAATCTTGACCTATCAACATTGAGTTTGTTTTGCAAAAATCCAAGTTTATTGAATCTTGATCTATCAATATTGAGTTTGTTTTGCAAAAATCTGAATTTATTAAATCTTGACCTATCAACATTGAGTTTGTTTTGCAAAAATCTGAGTTTATTGAATCTTGATCTATCATCGTTAAGTTTGTTTTGCAAAAATCTGAGTTTATTGAATCTTGACCTATCAAGATTCAATAAACTCAGATTTCTGCAAAACAAACTCAATAATGATAGATCAAAATTCAATAAACCCAGATTCTTGCAAAACAAACTCATGATTAAGATTCAATAAACTTAGATTTTTGCAAAACAAACTCAATATTGATAGATCAAGATTCAATAAACTTAGATTTTTGTAAAACAAACTCAACAATGATATCAAAATTTTTTAAAACAACAAGCAATAGAATTTAATATATAAAATTACTGAAAAATATGAATACTTTTTTAATCTTTGTAACAATGTAATAATTTATTTATAATAAAAAAAAATAATATAAATAATACAATAAATCTTTAAATTAAAAACTATCTTCACTAGTAACTTTAAATATATCTTGCATTATTTCTTCATATTCATCATAACTATTATAACCACTATTATTAGAATCATATTCACTAAATCTATTACTATCATTATTAACAAAATTATTAATATTATTAATAATATTAAGAACATCAGTTTGAAAAATAAATGATTCATCATTTATAAATTTATTGATTACTTCATCATATAGACAAAAATTCATATAATAAAATTCATTTGCATAATTAAAACTTTGTCCAAAAAATTTGTATAAAAATTCAATCTTTTTTCATACTGTCTAACAGTATTTTCACCAATTTTTTCATATTGGTTAACAGTATCTTGAATAATAATATTCTTTTCTTCAATAATTCTTTCAAGATGTTTAATAGATTCAACATAAACTTCTTTAATTTCATTAATTTGCTTGTTTAATTATTGAATTTCTTCTTGTTGATTTTGATGAATTCTTCTTTCTTCTCTCAAATCCTATTGAGTATCATATAATTCTTCATATAAAGTAATAGACATTTTTTCTTTAAAAGTTTGTAAATATAGATATAGTTCTTTACTAGTTTGTTGTATAAAATTAAATCATTTAACATTTAAATAAAATAAAAAAATCTAACGTTTAAATAAAAATTTAACTAATTCTATTTTTTTTAGAAGATTCTTCTAAAATATCAGCTGTTCTTTTTTATCTTTTCTGTATATAAATAATTGGTTCATATTTGGATAATTATTTAAATATTTAATCTTGTAATCTGAAAACTTTTTATACTAATAAACATTATCACCAATAATAATTTCTTTTTCCTCAATTTCCATATTTATTTTTTTAGATTTTTTTATAATTTCTTCAATAGAATTTTTCTTATTACAATATTTAACATCTCATAATATGTTTCTAAATTTATACTCATCACCCTTTTCGAATATAATTTGTGTAGTTCTTTTTTCTTGATCATTATTTCATTTTCTATCAAATCTAATTATATAATCTAATCTATATTCAAAATGGTTATAATCTTTCTTATTATCATCTTCTTCACCATATTGTCTGAAATTATAAGCTTCTTCAGGTGGTTTAATAGCTATTAAACAAATATATTTAGCCAAAAAAGGTTTAAAACTACTATATTTATATTTAACTTCAAAACAAGAATTATTTAATAAATTTATCATTTCATTTCAATCAATCTTTGTATAAAATTCATTGATTAAAACTATTTCTTGTCCAATATATTCATTCAAATATGAACTATTTGTTTGTTGCTTCTTTGGTTTATTATAAAGTTTATCACAAAATAATTTTAAAAACCATCTAGTTTTTCCTGCACTACCAGGTCCATAACAATAAAATGTAAGTAGATGCCAAAATCTTTTTCTTTGTTTTTTTTAAAAAATTTTTGTTTATCATTAATAACTTTTTCTGCATTTGTTGGTGTTATAAACCAATTAGCTAGTATTTTATTTTTATCAAGTACTACTTGTTTATAGGTAAGTTCTTGGTTACGAATTTCGTTTATACGTTTTATATCATCTAATCATAATTCATTTATATCTTCATATGTATTATTATTATTAGAACCTTCTAAAAATTGATAAGTTCCAAATTCAAATGGACCAATTATATCTGATGATAAATATCTATCACCCACTTTGCATATGAATGAATACAATTTGTATTACAATATTTACATATAGTAATAAATCAAAATAATCACATTGATATTTAGAATGTACTTTGCAATGATTATAAGTTTTCATAGCATAATTTTTATTTTGCTCTGAATTACTTGCAAGAAATTTTACAAGTGATGCAGAATTATCATTAAGAATAGTTTTTATAGATTTTATAGTTTGACATTTATTAAACTGTATATACATTTGTATATAAAGTTTACCAGAACTAGTAACTTCAAATTGACCACAAATATATGATACATTTTTATTAATTTTATTAAATGTTGTTTGTTCTGTAGGTAAAAAATATATACAATCTTTTTTATTTGTTATACAATAATTATATTTTATTTGATTATATTTATTTAATTCACAATATTTTGTGTATTTTTTTTCTTTACAATGCCAATATTGTGCTAAACAAAGAGAACATTTTAGAACTCCAGTTATCTGATATTCAAGCTCTTGTTCTTCTTTATCTTTTAGTGATAATGTTTTATTATATTTAAATTTGTTTTTACAAGAAATATAATGAAAACTAGTTGCACAATTATGACAAAATTGTAATCCTATTTTTTCATTTTTTTTTAAAAAAAAATATCTATTATATAAATAATTTTACTTTAATCAATATAAATAAATTAATATAAATAATATATAAGAAATAAAAAAAACTATATAAAAAAAAATAAAAAGAAAAACAAAAACTAAAATCACATGCTTAGCTTGTCATATTAAAAAAAAGATGTAAAAATTCTATTAATTGTTCAAGATATGAAAGAAATAAAATTAAATACACATCACTCTGGTTATACCAACAGCTGGTTTAACTGACAATTGGTTATATCAATATTTTTTTTTAAAAAAAATCCATTATCTTAAAATTTTGTTGGTTATACTTACAATCATAAGAAATATTAATACTGTCAAAATCAAAAATATAAACCAAATATCATCAAGCAATCATCTAATCGATAGCTGGCCGATAGTTTGGTGGCTGCT